CGGGCGGGACCTGACCTCGCAGTCTTGGCCTCCTGGCCAGCGCAGCCTCAGGCGGGAGGCGGGAGAGCCCCAGAAAGACCCGTCCCTAATTCAATTAATTCCAAAAAGAGGATTGGGGCGGGCTGGGGGTGGGGGGAGGGAGAGAGGGAAAGAAAAGGAAGGAATAACCGAAACCAGGCACTCGACMGCCCGAGTCAGCCCGAGGAGACTGCATTGCGCTCCCGAGTTGGAGCTTACAAGAGAGTTGGCAACACCAGACCATACCTGGGTGCACATCTGGGCATTCTCTACTCAGTGCTGTGCCCCAGCTACCTTGGCCAGGTTGGCAACTAAGGATACCGTGTTCCTWCCTTTCAAAGCAACTTAGCTTCTTCTCCCAGAACTAGGGGGCTAAGATAACCCAACTCTGGCATCTCCTCTGCAAATTCCCGATGCCTTCCTGCTAGTGAAGGGCTCCCTGGATTGGCCTCCTTCTCCCACCTATGCTTCCAGGGCCRTCGTTCCTACTCCGGTGCATTAGGTGGAGAAAGTTTCAAGAGCAGAATAGCCCTTCCAAGGCTCCAAGGTGGCTGCATACATTGTTACCACTTCTCACTAGGAAAACTTTGTGATGAAATTTTTTAAAAAGATATAGGACAGAAAGGCAGAAGCCACTTTAGGATTTGGAACCAGGGCAGGGTTTTAAGGTTTCTCATAATTCAGTTGTCACCTCTACTATGGGCCTATGGTGGGCACCTGGGTGCCCACGCCCCCTGAAGGGAGTAAAAATTAGTATCGGGCTGTGAGCTGGGAAGCCTGTTCAGACAGTGGAGATTCATCTGTCCCCTCCCATTYCCCCCAAACAAGCAGCTTTCTCCTTTGGGCACATTGGAGCAGATCAGAGTGGAGTCTTGGGCTGCTCCTCTATTGTCCCATGGAAGCTTGTGTGTGGAGGTCAAGGACAAGAGTGGATCTGTGCTGCCTCTTTCTATCTTTCTTCAGAACTAAACTGTGGAATCTACAATCATCCTTAGTCACAATGTCCCCTGAAATCAATGGAATCCCCGGGGAGCAGGTGACTTCCTGTTAAAGATGCTGGGGAAGTAGAAGAAGCAAAGGTTGTGCAAAGGAGAACGAAATATCTAACTTCTGCCCCCAAATCCCAAATCTACTGGTTGTGGATCTACTTACGAAAGGGAAAGATAGAAGTAAGCACAACCTGGTGAATTACCTGGCGCATCAGGGCTTCCCTGTTGCTGACCCTCTTAGGGCTCGGCTTCTCCCAGTGTTGTTCCTGTGGGTGRTGAAATCAGATCAGAGTTTCACTGTGTAAACAAGAGCTCACTGTCTTGGTCCTGGCTGGAATGGAATTAAACGGTGAGGGGAGAGGCAGCAATGACTTTCCTTCCTTTTCCTGCCAGATGGGCAAATGGCTTGGACTCCGAGATATCTGTTTCTCTGTCATTTTCCAAACACTGGACATGGGTTGGGGACTGGAAAATCAAGGGGAAAATGCCCCCTGATTGAACCTGGCTCAGCCATGGGGTCATAGAGGTTGAGCTTAGCTGGATGGTGAGTGCTTGGAGATCCTGCTGCTCAGACTAGGGCAAGAAGGGCATCCTCCCTGTGCATTTTTTCTCCTGTCCCCCCCCCACGCAAACCCCTTTCCACCTCCCCCCTCCTTCTGTTCTTGGAGCTTCTCTGGGTGTGTTCGGGAGAGCAAGCGGGAGAGCTAGCAAGAGAAAGAGATATGCAAGGGGGCATTTGGGGCCGTGTGTCCGTGCACATCTTCTTCTCCTGCTCATTTCGCCATCTCACCAGGGAAGTTAAGTGTTGGGGAGGGGGGTGATGGGAGGATGGCGCTCAGCTAGAGTGCAAGGAGTGTGGGGGGAAGGGTCAGGAATCAAGAAAGGGGCAGCTGGTGTGGACAACAGATTCACTAGAAGTGAGGAACTCAGGATCTCTGCCACAAAAGGGGCCCCTGTGCCCCTACCCAGGAGTCATCAACATCCTTCCGAAGGGGCTGGAATTTGGCTTCAAAATCAGCAGTGAGCAGCAGTGGGATAGCTAGAAGGATGATGTGATATGTAGAAGTCTGTGGTCTGGCCAGGAGAACCACGTGGAGGGATTCTTTGCTTCCAGCCCCAAGCCACCTGGATCCTGCCCAGCCCCAGAGTTCAGAGTGAGTTCTGGGAAACCAGCTGAGTGGGAGAGAAGCCCAATTAACATTGTTTCCAGAGCAAGATAAGAATCAGGCCTCAGGATGGGTGCCGAGTTCATTTTCTCTCTAATTGCCCCTGCCAGGCCATGCCCCATGTCATGTGCAGATCAGAGTTCCTCAAGTTAGGGTCTAGGATGTGCATCTTGCTCCACCCACCTCACTACAAGTGGAGGAGAAGGAAGATGGGCCAACTCCTTTCTACCAAGAATAGGGGTGATCCAGAAGTCTGAAAGAGTCTATTAGCCATCAATGGGAACAAACCTGGTGACAAAGGCCCAATCAGCAATCTCACTTTGGAGAGTTGGTCCAGAGATAATTCCAGGGAAGATGATGAAATTTTGAAATTATTTCTTGAAAAATCTCTGAAAATTGGGGGGGGGGAGGCGGAATTCTGGTCCAGCATTGGGAAGGGCCACATGCAGTGAGGCTCCCCAGGGCCAGGCACTGTAGCCCACAGAGATGCTATTCAAGAGTCAGCACTCTAAACTGGACAGCTCCTGGYCCCCCTCTTGCTTCCTGGGCAGCCGCCTAGAGACACCAGAAGGGCATCATCTCTCCTCCAAAAACTAAGAGGTTGAGGATAGACATTTAGGGGAGCCTCTAAGCCCCAGTTCAGTATAATCAGACCCACCCTTTGGCATTAAGTCTTTCTTCTTCATCTACCTTTCCCTCTCCTGCTCTGTCAAGGAGATCTCATTTTGGGACCTAACCCTTAAAAGTTTTAGCAGAACTGAACTCAATCCTCAACATTACAACCTTATTTCAGCCCTAAAAAAAAAAAAAAAAATGACAGTGTTTTTGGAAAAATAAAATAGCCCCTTCAAGGGACTACTAAGTATACTCTGGCTTTGGGATGGGTGTATGAGGGACTCAGACTCCTCTCTGAATATTTCAGGGCTCTGGTAGGCATTGGAGTTTAAGGGGAAAAGGAAGGGGAAAGATTCTTTCAGGGAAGTTGGTGTAGAGGTGCCTGTGCATATGAGGCTCAAAGAAATAAAGCTGTGAAGCCACCTTGTCTGAGTAGGAGAGGGTGTTCCCTGTGCCTTTCATCTTATCCYTCAACCCATTGAGAACTGTCCAGAACTAAAACTGGAGGAGGGAGYGTGCTCAGATGTGTGTGAGAGAGTTCTACTGCCCTGTTCCAGTGAGTTCATGGTGAAGTGAAGTTCCACTATGCCAGGTGGCCTCCCAGACTCAGTCACCTCATAGACCTCTGGAATGTCCCTCCAGTTTACTCCCCCCTCAAAATGTCAACCTTCCTGAAGCCAAAATAGTAGATTCCTCTGAATCCACTGAAACACACATTTAAGATGGAACAGGGATTTCCTCATTAAAATTTTATCCTCATGACCTTATAATTTTTTTTACCTTAAAAGTATCGCTGACATGCTCAAATGATTCCCCTTATCTGTACCTACTTCTTTTTACAACAGTGATGGAGGATTGTAAAATAATTGGCGTTCCGTTTCCTATCTTGATCATTTTTCAGTAATGAAAAAAAATTGTTTTCCCTCTCTTTCTCTCTTTCCAAGGGGCACGTGTGGTTATTCTGGGACTGAAAAGTGTAATCAGATGGGACCGGTGTTTGGTGCTGGGGCCTCTGGGTCTGGGTCGGGTCTGAGAGGGGCAGCCAGAAGAGCTGTTTCTGTGCTCATTAAATGTATGTGTGGGGCTTGTAGGGTGGAAATTCCACCCAGAAACATCCAGGGTGCCTCTCTCTGGTTTCTGCATAGTCACTTGACACTGCCTCCGTCATCCCAGTCTCAGTTCAAATTCCCCTCTCCCCATAAAAGGAGGCCACCGTGAGAAACCGGGTCCATCTTTGCATCTCATTTACATAAATATTTATTAATCGTCATTAAACTGAACAGAAACACGCAATGCACTTCGGGTGTCCGACGGGAAATTTCATCTTCGCTACAAGAGGAAGGTAAAATTGCGTGTAAGTGTGTGGGTGAGTGTGTGGGTGTGTCGCCTGTGGGTTTGCATTTTTGCATCGTGTGTTTGGATGCCTGATCCCCTGCTTCTGGTGGGGAGAGGTTCATCTTTTGCCCCTTTTGGGGGAAACCTCCAAGTAGGAGCCCTCAAACCTCCCCGCCCACCCGCCTGCAAAAGCCAGGAGGACGCCTAGGACAAACGAAACAAAACAAAACAAAACAAAAAACCCTCTCCAGCCACCGGATATCGCCGGGCGCCTGGCGCCCACAGAGGCACAGTTGGGGCAGGCGGGGAGCTACCCCCAGAGCGGACCGAAGTGCCTGCGGGGAGGAGGAGCCAACCAGCTCACCTCCTAGGGTCCCCCGACGCCCGCGCTGGGCCTGCGTGTGCGTGCGGTGTGATGTGCGTGTGTGTGTCTCTCATGCAAACCCTCCCTCCCCAAACCGACCCCCCAACAGTTTGCCATTCCATACAAATTTGGAAACAGGTTTTAAAAAACAGTATGACGCACATAGGGGACGGGGCGGGGGAGGGCAGTGGCACTGGGGCCCCAAATCTCCGAGTCACTGATTGTAAGAACCTGGGGAGGGAGAGGGGGCGGCGCGGGCCCCCATTTCACCAAAGTGCACAGATCCGCGCTTGGGCGGGGCGGCCAACCGACAGGGAGGGGCATCCCGGGACCGGGCCGGGCCGCTAGGCTCAGTCAGAACCTCCTTGCATAGATATTTGTGTCTTTTTATTATTGGTAGTAGTATTTTTTTTTTTTTTTTGCCTTTTATTGCTTCTAAAAGTTCTTACTGCTTTTTTTTTTTCTCCGATCCGGACTCTGCGTTCGGCCTCCGTCGCCTTTTTTTTTTTTTAATTTTTTGTATGTTTGTGTTTAAAAAAAAAGGAAAAGGGAAAACTGGATTCTAGTTACAAATTGTCTTGGCCTCTCTCTTTCCTCTCAATCCACATCCCCTCCCGCCAAAATTAAAATTACAAAACGCGGAGATTCGGAGTTGGAGGTGAAGGCGCCCTGACTTCTGCCCTCTTCAAGAAAGAGGGGGCGCCCAGCTCCTTTCGGGCCTCGGCAGCTTGGTGTCTGTTTTTAAAATAATAATGATGACAGGGGAAAACCGCGTCCCACAGCTCAGCTGCCCCCTGACCGACTCCTTTGGGCCTGCAGGGAGGAGGGGGAGGAGAAAACGTAAGTGAAGTTATTGGGAGTTGGGGGGTCTCCAGGGAGGACCCGGAGAGTGGTCCCGGGAGAAGCACTCCCTAGGAGAGAGAGGGAGGGAACCCTTTGGGGAGAGAGAAGGCGAGTCCCCTGGGGAAAGCGAGGCCCCTGGGACGGGCCACCTATAGGCAAGAGACGGCTCTGCCCAGAAGAGCGGCAGGACCGGCGGCCCGCTCCCTGCACCCGGCGCCGCCGGGGTAGGTGAGGGTGCCCCTGCGATCGGAGGGGGGCTGGGGCAGGGGGACGGGCAAAGGCAAAAGAAAAAGAAAAGGACTGGCGCGAGGTCTCAGTTATGGAAAAACGCATTGAGCTCCTCATACATGGGGCCCCGGTCGTGGTGAAGGTGCATATCGTAAGACAAGAGATTCTCCGAGTGTACGCCCCCGCGCACAGCGGACGAGCCGAAGACCAGCCCGTGGCCGGTGGGCCGAGAGCCGGGCAGCGCCGAGTAGTGCATAGAGTAGTGGTAGCTCTTCTCGTGGTCGGGCGACGAGTCCTGCTTGAGTGAGAAGTTGCCATTGAGACACAACGGGGGACTGAGCGGGCCCTCGTATTCGGAGCTGTTGTAGTCCGGGCTCGCGCCACCACCTCCGGCCGCTGCATACAGCGTCTCGTAGGCGGCGCAGTAGCCGTGGGTCCGCAGGGCGTGCGCCGCACCGCCGCCCAGGCCGCCGGCTGCCTGGCACTGTGCGCCCGCCAGGCGCGAGCACGGGTAAGGGTAGGGGTGCATGGCGAATGGGCCGCCCGAGCCGTGGAAGCGGCCAGTGCCGTCGGCGCCCTGCTCCGTGAGGAAGTTGCGGGAGTTGAGCTGCAGGCAGCCAGCCACCAGATTGGTGGTGGGCTGCGACAGACCCTTGCACAGAGTCTGCACGTAGGACACCAGATCGGGCCGCTTTCCGGAGCGCAGGATCTCCGAGAGCGCCCAGATGTAGTTCTTGGCTAGGCGCAGCGTCTCGATCTTGGACAGCTTTTGCGTCTTGGAGTAGCAGGGCACCACCTTCCGCAGGTTGTCCAGCGCTGCGTTCAGGTCGTGCATGCGGTTGCGCTCCCGCGCGTTCGCCTTCTGCCGCCGCAGCTTGGAGCGCTCCAGGCGCGCCTTGGTCATCTTGCGTTTCTTGGGACCTCGCTTCTTGGGCCGTTCGCCCTCTGCCTCGTCCAGTCCTTCTTCCTCCTCCTCTTCCTCCTCCTCCTCGCCCCCCAGCTCGCCTTCCTCCTTGACCTCCGCCAACGTGGCCTCTGGTACCTCTTCTCCACGCAGGGGGACTGGTTTGGCGGCCCGGGCGGGCCCAGGAGCCCCCGGCCCGGGCGCAGGCGGCGGCTGCGGCGGCGCGTCGCCCTTGTCGCTCCTCGGCTCGTCGTCGTCGCCGTCGCCCCAGCTGGCGAATTTGGGCACGTCCGAGAGGAGGCCGGGCTCGCTGAACAGGCGGGTCAGCATGGTGCCTGAGGGCGCCCGGGTGGGAGGGCCGGGAAGGGGAGACAGACAGCACAGAGTGAGGGACGCGCTAGGGTCACGACGGCCCCCCAACCGCCTCCACCCCCAAGTCTCCTGCGGGTTCTTGCCCAGAGAGCCCTGGATGCCTACTTCCTCCACCTGCCCCGCCCAGAGCCGGCCCAGCCCTGCCGGGTGGCGGGCCGGGGATCTCGGCCCAGGCCCACTTCCCAGCACTGGGCCCCGGCTCCGCCCCTCTCTGGAATGGGGGGCAGTTCCCCGTGCCGGGTTCTTCTCAGGGTCCGAGAGGGGGACCCGGTAGGGACTTAAGGGACCAAATATCTTCTCCAGGGGAGGCGGGTGCATTCGCCCAGAAAGCCTGTTCTCTCCCGGCAGTGGACAGTGGTTGGGCGGCCGCGGGTGGAGACAGCTGCCCCTCTCCTCCGACCGGCGGCCGGGGGCCCCAGGCCTGGCTCCCCACCCCTCCCGTGGCTCTCACCCCCACGCTCCCTAATCCAATTTGCAAGTTGGCCGCGCGCCGCCCCCGGCTCGGCCCCCATCCCCGCAGCCCCAATTCCAGAGGCGGGAGGATCGTCTCCTCTAGCCGTAGTGTCCCCAGCTCCTGGAGCCGGCTTTGGGCGGCGAGGACTGAAGAACCGCGGCTTGGGGAGGAGACAGAGAAGCGAGCCCCGTCCGTCTCCCCGGCGGTCAGGGACCCCCTTCCCCCCTTCAAACCGCCTCCCTCCCACACAGCTCTCCAGATCTCGTTGTATTTCGGGATTGATGGGAAAAAATCCAAATTTGTTTGTTTGCTTCTTTTTGGGGGGTGGTGGGGAAAGGTCGCAGGTTCCTTTGGGACAACCACGGGGGGGCTCCTCAACTCGGCCTCTTCGTGCCTCCCATGATCCTGCCTTTTCCCCCACCAAGCCCATCGCAGACAGAAACGCCTCCCTCCGCAGCCCCCTGAGCTGCAACCCCTAGGGGAGAAAGAACCGGAGGCGCCTCGGATGCCCACCCGATGAGGGGGTATCATCCCAGGAAGGGGGGATTTGGGGACTCTCCTGTCCGCCGAAGCAGCCGCCCTCCCCCCTCCCAATCAGCGGGTCAGATCTAGCTCCCTCTCGGACAACTTACCTCGGAGAGGAGTCAAGGGGAGAGGGGAGGGGAGGGGGGGAGGGGGTAAGAGAGAGAGGGGGGAGAAGAGGAATCTTCTCGCTTATTTCATTGTTCCCCCATCTTCAGGGAGCGGGGGCAGCGGCTCCTCAAGGCGGCGGGCGCCGGCGTCTTCAGAGCGCCATGCGAACCGCGGAGCGAGTGTGGCATCTCTACCAGGCGGGGTACCAGCCTCTATGCCAGGCCATATGGGCTTGGCACGTCACGGGCAGCAGCTATCACATGAGAGACGGTGATTGGCATGCGTCTGCATTGGGGGAGAGCCGGCTCCCCCGGGACCCGCCGCCATCTGTCACTCTCTACTCCAAAAAAAAAAAAAAATTAAATAAATAAAGGAAATAAATAAATATCTCTGCCGCCCTCCCCTCCCCACCCAACGCAGGGAAAGCAGGGATTGAGAGNTTTTTTTTTTTTTGCCTTTTATTGCTTCTAAAAGTTCTTACTGCTTTTTTTTTTTTTTCTCCGATCCGGACTCTGCGTTCGGCCTCCGTCGCCTTTTTTTTTTTTTAATTTTTTGTATGTTTGTGTTTAAAAAAAAAGGAAAAGGGAAAACTGGATTCTAGTTACAAATTGTCTTGGCCTCTCTCTTTCCTCTCAATCCACATCCCCTCCCGCCAAAATTAAAATTACAAAACGCGGAGATTCGGAGTTGGAGGTGAAGGCGCCCTGACTTCTGCCCTCTTCAAGAAAGAGGGGGCGCCCAGCTCCTTTCGGGCCTCGGCAGCTTGGTGTCTGTTTTTAAAATAATAATGATGACAGGGGAAAACCGCGTCCCACAGCTCAGCTGCCCCCTGACCGACTCCTTTGGGCCTGCAGGGAGGAGGGGGAGGAGAAAACGTAAGTGAAGTTATTGGGAGTTGGGGGGTCTCCAGGGAGGACCCGGAGAGTGGTCCCGGGAGAAGCACTCCCTAGGAGAGAGAGGGAGGGAACCCTTTGGGGAGAGAGAAGGCGAGTCCCCTGGGGAAAGCGAGGCCCCTGGGACGGGCCACCTATAGGCAAGAGACGGCTCTGCCCAGAAGAGCGGCAGGACCGGCGGCCCGCTCCCTGCACCCGGCGCCGCCGGGGTAGGTGAGGGTGCCCCTGCGATCGGAGGGGGGCTGGGGCAGGGGGACGGGCAAAGGCAAAAGAAAAAGAAAAGGACTGGCGCGAGGTCTCAGTTATGGAAAAACGCATTGAGCTCCTCATACATGGGGCCCCGGTCGTGGTGAAGGTGCATATCGTAAGACAAGAGATTCTCCGAGTGTACGCCCCCGCGCACAGCGGACGAGCCGAAGACCAGCCCGTGGCCGGTGGGCCGAGAGCCGGGCAGCGCCGAGTAGTGCATAGAGTAGTGGTAGCTCTTCTCGTGGTCGGGCGACGAGTCCTGCTTGAGTGAGAAGTTGCCATTGAGACACAACGGGGGACTGAGCGGGCCCTCGTATTCGGAGCTGTTGTAGTCCGGGCTCGCGCCACCACCTCCGGCCGCTGCATACAGCGTCTCGTAGGCGGCGCAGTAGCCGTGGGTCCGCAGGGCGTGCGCCGCACCGCCGCCCAGGCCGCCGGCTGCCTGGCACTGTGCGCCCGCCAGGCGCGAGCACGGGTAAGGGTAGGGGTGCATGGCGAATGGGCCGCCCGAGCCGTGGAAGCGGCCAGTGCCGTCGGCGCCCTGCTCCGTGAGGAAGTTGCGGGAGTTGAGCTGCAGGCAGCCAGCCACCAGATTGGTGGTGGGCTGCGACAGACCCTTGCACAGAGTCTGCACGTAGGACACCAGATCGGGCCGCTTTCCGGAGCGCAGGATCTCCGAGAGCGCCCAGATGTAGTTCTTGGCTAGGCGCAGCGTCTCGATCTTGGACAGCTTTTGCGTCTTGGAGTAGCAGGGCACCACCTTCCGCAGGTTGTCCAGCGCTGCGTTCAGGTCGTGCATGCGGTTGCGCTCCCGCGCGTTCGCCTTCTGCCGCCGCAGCTTGGAGCGCTCCAGGCGCGCCTTGGTCATCTTGCGTTTCTTGGGACCTCGCTTCTTGGGCCGTTCGCCCTCTGCCTCGTCCAGTCCTTCTTCCTCCTCCTCTTCCTCCTCCTCCTCGCCCCCCAGCTCGCCTTCCTCCTTGACCTCCGCCAACGTGGCCTCTGGTACCTCTTCTCCACGCAGGGGGACTGGTTTGGCGGCCCGGGCGGGCCCAGGAGCCCCCGGCCCGGGCGCAGGCGGCGGCTGCGGCGGCGCGTCGCCCTTGTCGCTCCTCGGCTCGTCGTCGTCGCCGTCGCCCCAGCTGGCGAATTTGGGCACGTCCGAGAGGAGGCCGGGCTCGCTGAACAGGCGGGTCAGCATGGTGCCTGAGGGCGCCCGGGTGGGAGGGCCGGGAAGGGGAGACAGACAGCACAGAGTGAGGGACGCGCTAGGGTCACGACGGCCCCCCAACCGCCTCCACCCCCAAGTCTCCTGCGGGTTCTTGCCCAGAGAGCCCTGGATGCCTACTTCCTCCACCTGCCCCGCCCAGAGCCGGCCCAGCCCTGCCGGGTGGCGGGCCGGGGATCTCGGCCCAGGCCCACTTCCCAGCACTGGGCCCCGGCTCCGCCCCTCTCTGGAATGGGGGGCAGTTCCCCGTGCCGGGTTCTTCTCAGGGTCCGAGAGGGGGACCCGGTAGGGACTTAAGGGACCAAATATCTTCTCCAGGGGAGGCGGGTGCATTCGCCCAGAAAGCCTGTTCTCTCCCGGCAGTGGACAGTGGTTGGGCGGCCGCGGGTGGAGACAGCTGCCCCTCTCCTCCGACCGGCGGCCGGGGGCCCCAGGCCTGGCTCCCCACCCCTCCCGTGGCTCTCACCCCCACGCTCCCTAATCCAATTTGCAAGTTGGCCGCGCGCCGCCCCCGGCTCGGCCCCCATCCCCGCAGCCCCAATTCCAGAGGCGGGAGGATCGTCTCCTCTAGCCGTAGTGTCCCCAGCTCCTGGAGCCGGCTTTGGGCGGCGAGGACTGAAGAACCGCGGCTTGGGGAGGAGACAGAGAAGCGAGCCCCGTCCGTCTCCCCGGCGGTCAGGGACCCCCTTCCCCCCTTCAAACCGCCTCCCTCCCACACAGCTCTCCAGATCTCGTTGTATTTCGGGATTGATGGGAAAAAATCCAAATTTGTTTGTTTGCTTCTTTTTGGGGGGTGGTGGGGAAAGGTCGCAGGTTCCTTTGGGACAACCACGGGGGGGCTCCTCAACTCGGCCTCTTCGTGCCTCCCATGATCCTGCCTTTTCCCCCACCAAGCCCATCGCAGACAGAAACGCCTCCCTCCGCAGCCCCCTGAGCTGCAACCCCTAGGGGAGAAAGAACCGGAGGCGCCTCGGATGCCCACCCGATGAGGGGGTATCATCCCAGGAAGGGGGGATTTGGGGACTCTCCTGTCCGCCGAAGCAGCCGCCCTCCCCCCTCCCAATCAGCGGGTCAGATCTAGCTCCCTCTCGGACAACTTACCTCGGAGAGGAGTCAAGGGGAGAGGGGAGGGGAGGGGGGGAGGGGGTAAGAGAGAGAGGGGGGAGAAGAGGAATCTTCTCGCTTATTTCATTGTTCCCCCATCTTCAGGGAGCGGGGGCAGCGGCTCCTCAAGGCGGCGGGCGCCGGCGTCTTCAGAGCGCCATGCGAACCGCGGAGCGAGTGTGGCATCTCTACCAGGCGGGGTACCAGCCTCTATGCCAGGCCATATGGGCTTGGCACGTCACGGGCAGCAGCTATCACATGAGAGACGGTGATTGGCATGCGTCTGCATTGGGGGAGAGCCGGCTCCCCCGGGACCCGCCGCCATCTGTCACTCTCTACTCCAAAAAAAAAAAAAAAAAATTAAATAAATAAAGGAAATAAATAAATATCTCTGCCGCCCTCCCCTCCCCACCCAACGCAGGGAAAGCAGGGATTGAGAGGGAGGTGGGAGGAGTTGCCCCCCTCAGATATAGAGCCCCCCACATGGGAACAATGGGGGGCAAGCCTGGAAATTGGGCGTTTGTGGTGACCGCCAATTCTGTGCTTCCTCCAGGGTCTTGCTCTGTCCATTTCCTCCCCTGCAAGGTCCCCAAGGTGGGTCAGGACCAGACCCTGGGGTGTGGAGAAGGGACCTCAGTGCTTGTCCCCACTCCCCAGGAGGGTCCCCTCCACCACAAAGGGACAGCTGAGGCCCCCTTCAAGAGTGGGCGTTGGGGGTGTCCCTGGCCCAAGCCCCATAGGTAGATGTTGGCACTATGCCATCCCTCATCCCTGTCTGCCCCTCCCCCACCCACCCTCACGCACACACAACATATGTGGCTGAACGAAATTCAAACCAAGGGAAAGACAGAGAAAGGGAAAGATTTGCCTGGATGTCTGTGCCTCTGCATGGGCGTGTGTGTGTCTACGGATTCGTGCGTGTGTGTCTATGGAGTCAGCCGATCGGAGATGTTTCCTTGGGTATCAGGGGCATATATATTTGGATGGGGCAGGGAAGAACCCCTGAAGTGTGTCTATGAAAATCCCTCATCTAGGGATGGAGGAATCAGGTCTAAATCTGGATTCCTAACCCAGAAACCTCTTCCTCCTCATCATTCTCTTTGCCAGATAGGTGACCATCCCACCAGTGACTTTCTGTCTCAGCCTTCTGACTTGGTTGAGGGAGGAGGAGGGGACTGGGCTGGAAACTGCCTAGAGTTCCTGGATGAAACTCAAGCATTCTCCTCCCCCTGCAAAATAATAATAATAATAATAATAATAATACTGAAAACACTGGAGCTAACCCCAGCAGTCCCAAGAGCAGCTAAGGGGAGGTAGGTCAGACAAGTGTCTTGATCAGGAAGGTTGAAATGGCTGTATCATCTTAGGGCTCACCTTTCAACCCTCTCACTGGGCCAGAGGCAGATGCAAATGGCACAGGTTGAGAGGTAGCTTTACACACACACACACACACACACACACACACACACACACACACCTGTTCCTCACCCTGTGGTGCAGAAAATGGATACAGACACCTACTCAGACAGACACATGCCTATGAGCAGGTAATCACAGTCAGGTGTAGAGAGACCTTTGTACCCACACTGAGCCAGGCATTTGTGTTCCTGAACTGCGTTTTCTGCCCCTCCTCACCCTCAGCCTACCTCTGCACCTCCAACTTCAATTATAGTTTCAGCASACGAATTCAGAGGTCAGCCACGTGTCAGGCACTGCAGTGGCACAAAGATGAGCAAGAGGAGGGCTTCACCCTCAATCCAGGGGTATGCATTCCCTCCCAATGGGAGCCTCCACAGGGGGCCTAGGGCTGGTAARCCATGGATTTGATGCTGGGCAGATTGAACAAAGTTCTACACAGAGACACACAAGGCTCAGGAAGGCCATGGGGCGCTGGTGTTGTCTGGGCTCTCAGAGGTGCTAGTTCAGGAGCCCAGAATACACAATCCCAGCTCCTCCTTTTGCAGAGGTCACCGAGGGGAAAAAAACTTGCCTAAGAGAACACAGGTGGAGAATAGGCTGGGTCTAGAACCCAGGTACTTGTCTCTCAGTCTAATGCCCTTCCAGTGACCTCACAACCTGCTTCTGTGGTATCCAAGGATGAGAAGCCATTCAGAGGTCCTATGTCTAGGGAGGTGGATCCTGCTTACAGCAGATAGTCTGCAACTTCATGACAGAGGCAGAGGTCAAAGCATRGGGCAGAGACTCAGGAAGGCTGGTCAGGCTGCCTCCAGTTTTGGGCACAGACTGCAAGGTTTACTGTCTCCTCATGGTATCTATCATCCATCCTGACGAGCAACTCTCTTCCTGAGTCCCCTAGCTGGATGGTATGTTGGTTACCTGCACTTGCTCAAGGTTTCTGATTCCCGGCCAACCCTGTTCACCAATGTTTTAAAAAATGTTGGATACTATGTGGGGCAAAGTGGCACAGGCCTGTAATCCCAGTGACTCAAGAGACTGAGGCAGGAGGATTGCAAATTTGAGGACAGCCTGAGCAACTTAGACCTTCAGCAACTTAGTGAGACCCTGTCTCAAATGAAAAAATAAAAAGGATTGGGGATACAGCTTAGTGACAAAGTGACCCTGGGTTCAATCCCTAATCCCAAACAAACAACCCTGAATGCCTTGAGCAAGTTACATAACATTTCTCAGCCTTGATCTTCCTATTTCCCTATCTGTTAAATGGGAATAATACACCCTTACAGAGCTCTTGTTAGCTCTAATGGGATAATATGTGTGATGAGCTTGGCAATAACATAAGCCTTCAATAAATGCCAGCTCTTATTTTTATTAAGACACTTTATAAACTAACATGCTTTACAATATTAATTTCTTGCAATACTCCCCCAATGCACATTCAGTATTCTTTGTCTATATAGAAACTGAACCTTTATGAAATTAATAGGTGAGTATATGGATTAGTAAACAAATACTTCCTTGGGGATGAGAAATATCCCCCACCTTCTCCTTTGGACACTGAGGGTTGGGTTATCTCACCAGGGGTCTCATAGGTTCCTGTGGCAGGAGGCAGGACCTTGTTCAGTATAGGGGAGCCCTTAGAAAGTTGTCCCCTTCCACCTGCCTGTTTTCTGTCAGGAATGACCTCAGCTCCCCAAGTCTGAGAAGACCCACAGGAAGAGGCCTGAGGTGGGAGGGCCATGCCTGAGGCTATGAGGAACTTCATCTCTTTTGGCCTGTTCCTGCCCCTGTCTTTTCTTCCTCCAGAAAAATGGAACAAGTTTTTCTCACTCGACACATTTCAACTTTTTTTTTAGAAGATACAATAAAAACCAGGGGAAAATTGGAACAGAGGGAGGTGTGGGATGGGCCTGCCTAGACATGGGCTTGAAAGAGGTACAACACGTGTGTCCACATACACACGAGCAAGCATGAACACACAGGGACATGCACGCTCCTCTCTGTACACCCAGAGATGTCGAGATGCAGTGACGGAGAGACAGAAAGAGCCAGAAATGGAAGGAAGGAGACGAAAGGAGAAGGACACCCAGAGATGCCATCTGTTCCTCCCTGTGGCATTGGGGGAAGGGAGTTGGTGAGGGGCCTGGTCCCCTCCAGGTCTCAGAGAGGAAAAGGAGAATGGTGGGTACCTCAGCCAGGCCTGGAAGACCCCCATTTCTGCTGCCCACTCCTCAGGAGGAAGCAGAGAGCTGGGGCTGGAGGTTCCCATGGAGACATAGCCCCATCCCAAGGGAGGCCACAGCCTGGGCACCTAAAATGGCTGCCTCAGAGGGGTGGCAGCCATTTTGTACAGGCTCAGGTCCTGAGGGGCAGGGGTGAGGGGGGCGCTGAGAGTGTGGAGGAGGAGCGCAGAGGGCAGGAGGGAGGAGACAGGTCATTCCTGAGCAGTCTAA